AATCAGTTCAAGTACGTAAATCTGTGTGATTGTCCTTTTACAATGTGTGCCTCCGTCTTGGTCTTCCGACAAACGAACCCACCACAATATCAAAAAAGATAGCAATATCATCACCAAAGTCATATCAGAAATCAAATATAAACCAATATATCAATGAACCAGATACACACGCACACATTTACAGAACCCAAGACTGCAGATTTAACGAATTCCACTATGAACAAACCTTGAAGTTTTCAACCTTGAAGTTCTTGGAATTGCTCGAACCCTGGACATTTTCTTGACGTTCTGCACAGCGAAAGGCATAATGACGACAAACATGTATGAGTATGAAGGACAAAAATTTAAACAATAATTAAAACAATAATTTAAATAATTTAAAGTGGTGCTGGTTTGGGGGGGGGTGATTGTCTGTCGTACAGAGGTTGGCAACGTGCAAACATTCTTTTCACTCATTACATCAATTAAAAATGTTTAATTCATGGCTGGTCAGCATTTCTTTTTCTGTCCTCTTTGAAAATTCTCTACAAGCATTTTTGCCCTGTTCGTACTGGACAAGTTGACCAAAGTCAAGACGGCAACGCATTTACATACTTGATAAATCTTCCATTTATCTCAACACTGTAGGAAAATCTCTGCAATCCACTCACAGCACGCAGTAGTAAAACAACTTTTAGCATAAACATGTGGATGCTCACTGTAGTGTCTGTGAATACCCAAGCAACTATCACCATACAGTTAAAGAGTAACTTTCTCTTGGAGAGGGGGGTCAAAAGGCACAACGCTGAAAGGTGGTATCAGGACGTCCTGGTAGCCAATACTAGTGGTGAGATATATATAACAGACTCTTGACTAATACCAAAAGGACTGCTTTTTCAATCGATACTGTAATCTCATTAACTTACATGTAGTCTGGTGGATATAATAAATAATTCTTGTGAATACATGTAGTAAAAACAAAAGAATTTAATGATTGCATCATGCCATCAACTTACTCTTCGTAGGTGGTTTATTCCGATCCAAGCCTTTCGAGCTACTATTTCGTTTCCTTTTGGTACCCCGTGAAGACATCTTTACATTGGAAACGTGGCTTGATTTACACCCTTTATGGTGGATGGTATAATTTTCCTGCTGATTAAATAAAAAAACAAGGGGTCAAGTTCTTGTACGTAACCAATCATCTTCAACAAATTTCTCTTTTAAGTTTTATTTTGAAACTGAAAACCGTAAAATGACAATTTTTCAAAGTCCAGAGACGTCACATTTTTAACCCTAAAAGAACTGTTTTTTGGGAGGCCTTGTCACAGCCGGGAGGGCGGAATCTGCCCCCTCAGATCTCAGCCATACTATGATCTGTTTCAATGAAATTTCGCAGTGCTATAGAGGCATACATAGTTACTAATCATCTGAGTTAAATTATATGTAAATTAATTAAGTTTTTGCATAATTATGACTCATTGATTAATCCTGATACCAATTTTTTAATCTTCTTTCGATTGCCAGGCGATTTTATTGCATTTTTCACATCGAAGATGCTGTATGGGTTGAAGTATATTCAATGGAAATAAAACCAGAGATGCTCTGAGCTGTATGCATAAGTTAATTGTACATTAATAGACCTTCCCCAAAGCAAGAGACTTCCTGGAAAAGGAAACATTCTGTCCTTTGTACGATGTACTTCTGTGTACAAAGTCCATGGTAAATTTCACATCACATTTCACCCTGGCTCCTAAATTCTTCACTGAGAGAGAGCTCCACTTCCAACTTTCCTAAATTTGGTGTCAAAATGAGGAAAGGAAAGGCCCCAAGCGGTTCGGAATGTAGTATCGCGCCCCCTTGTTGTCTGTGTGGTTTCTTCGCTTGAGCTACACAATTGTTCAGTCAGGCCTAGCCCAGGTGGACTGACTGACCGCACTACCTGGCGCACGAGATTCCGAGCTGTGTACACGCACATCGACATTTCATGTTCTAACCACGGACGTGTATAATAAAATCTGGACTCGCAATGCCCTTAATCAGCTTATGGGTGCACCCTGGTAATTCGGCCAGAAATATGTCCGCCGAGCTCATTAATAAAAGTTATAGACTCAAAATATTCTATATTAGAGGGTCCTGAGAGACATGGAACTGAGGAATTTAAGAAATATGAGACTGAACCTCTGGGCCGGACTCAGGGCTTCCAATTCTGAGCAATTTGGATGCAATCTGGTTTAAAAGTGGCACTATTTGAGCCATTTTGCTGAGGGAAGGTTTTTCAAAATGGCTACTTTTCTGGACAGGGACATTTTCTGCATTTTAGGGGTGGTGTGCTTCTGGTGAAAATTTCTCAAAAATTCATTGGTCAACCCCCCGAAAATTGAACGGAAAATGAAAGAGGACATGTGGAACATCATTTTTCTGTGCAGCCTGAACACCTGTGAGAGTTGTGAGTTTTTTTTAAATATTTGTGAAGTATGGGGATTTATCACTGCTGTCTATGGGAATTTATTTGTAGTGGTGCACCCAAAAGTGTGGCAAAGTGGAAACTTCACAAGCTACGAACAAACTCAAAAGGACTAAGTATTCTTGACCGCTGCGGGCGTTTCCTGTGAAGACCAAAGTGTGGCAAAGATACCAGAAACAAGCTACGAACTAAGCTAAGTATTCCTGAACGCTGAGGGCGTTGTTCGTAAATATACAGACAAAAATGGCATGACCGGCATGGTTCAGCTCGGCCTAGCCTGGACTGCACCTGCGCTCATTTGGACGGTAGCGTGGCTTTATAGTTTTTCCGCACGGTTCGAATCTCACAGCATTCCCTGGAAATGGCGCAAAACCAAGGTGTAACAGAAGACACTGCCAGGCATCTTTTAGATACCTTACAACGAGTTCTTGAGGCTCTGCCAAGTTCGTCAGAGTCGGGATGCCGAATTTCGGCCCCCCCCCGGCAGCTCCAGCCGCTTCGGTCTCCGGCCTTCGTGGGACAGCGCCTGATCCTAGTGCATCCACACCATCTACTGCCAGTTCAGGGACTCTCCGCCCTAACGTACCCCCAGGAACGACCGCGGCAGTATCTGGTGTGAGAAGGGCCCACTCCTCCCAAAGGTACTAGTATTTCTCATATTCCCGATTATCATAGTTATACCTTTTATGTCTTCGGTGATTGCATTTTGCTTTACAGCCATCAAAATGAAGCACATGATGGAAGTGCACGTCCTTGTCACAAGAACCCGACAAATTGCCTTTTTAAACATTTAGTCATTGCCTTGCCGTGTGCAGTATTACAAAAGTGATCGCCTGGAGAAACAGGTACAGGTTTTAGTAAAGTTGAAGAAGCCACGCAGATCTATACGAAAGAAAAACATGCTTGACCCGTTAACATAGGCCTGTGCCAGAAAAAATCCCTCATTATCTGACATGTAATGTCGTGAAATATTTGAAATTTTGACTCTTTTGTAGGCCTAGGCTAATAACCAAAGGTAATTTTTTCTCACTGTGGTTTGAAAAATAAGGGATTTAGTTTCGCCTTATTAATTGCTTTAATTGTTAAAGATTTCAAATAATGTTCCCGTTATTCCCAAACTTGAAAGTCAGGTATAACATGGAAGCCGTACTTTAATGGTTGTGTCTGTGCCCTCACGCTGGATGATGTATTCCATTTTTTGTAGCTTTAGCGACTTTCCTGTTGAAGAGTCTCTTTCCACCGTGCGTTAAAACAAAAAACTTGAAATTTCAACATTTAATTACTAATTTGAGAAAAAGATGCAACAGTTGTTCCTTGTTGATCTAATTCGTCTCCTAGTTAAATTTTGGTCTAGATACAATCAAATTATTGTTTTGAAGGATTTGTAGCGATGTATGACACTTAATTTTCATCGTGAAAACGCGACACGCTATGAGGAATTGGAATTGTTTTACCAGTGCTGCAGCCACCATGTGGCCATGGTTCAGGTGGGCTATTTGATCTGACATTGTCTGGTGGCACAGATTTTATTGCATTGTAAATTGTATACTAGTGAAGCCCGGGTTCCATTCCCGGATAAGACAGGTTTTTAATTGCATTTGGTCTCCAACCCATACCCGCTCTTGCAGGTTTTCTCTGGGTATTCCGTTTTCCTCGTGCCTCCAAAACTGGTTATTCTTACTAACTCCGTAAATTGATGCTGATTAATACCTGTACAGGTTATGTGAATAAAGGCGTACAGTTATTCTCGCAAAGAGCCATACTAAATGCCACTACAGTAAAAGAACAACACAGTGTGGAAAAGCATGTGTTGCTGAAAACGTAACTTGCTACCAAAGACAAAGTAATCCATGAGAATTCTTGTATTGAAATTCATTACGTTTTATAATTGGTTGTTGTAGCTGAGGTTAATTTTTTGTCAATAATCTTATTACATCTTACAAACAGTACTGCTGTCGAAGTTGCCAAGCAATTTGCGCCGAAAACCTTTTAACATTGTAGTGCTAGCTGTTGGTCGATTTTGTTGGCAATAGTTTAAGTTTTGTTTCGTTTTGTTGTTTCTTTTCAGACTACCCGTCCTACACGAGCATGCCCGATTGTTTGGGGTAAGACAAATGATTTTGAATAACTAATTATATTTACGCGGTTAAAATTTATAGGCTTAATATACAAAATAAATTTTTCCCTCAACTCTGTCCGCTGACATGCCCCATATCGTGCAAACGCGAACGGTTGATCAGAATTACATGTACTCCGGACTTGCACGTTGGATGAAGCCTGTCGTAGAAAAGTTGCACTGTGCATCCTTTCACTAGATATTGTTTTCCATTGACACATGGTATCTTTCTTTTCACGGTTCTTTCGTATCGTAATTGAAACTCACCCGGAGCACTGCTTACAGGCCATTCGAAAGCATTACCGTCATTTAGCACAACTTCTTAAAGAATACTGAAACCATTTTTGACGGTGTATAAAAAGATGTTACACATGGACTTTGTCGTGTAATGTTACGAACAGTAGAAAGAATAAGTCATGAGGCAGATTCATTGTTTAGGAAAACATGGGTAGCAGGCCTTTCTTCTTGTTGAGAACGAGCTACTTT